TTGAAATAGTAAAAGAGAAAATACAAGTATACTCATTACCTAATAATAGACATGATGATGAAACATAAATTTATACTTATTAAATATGATGAAAAATGAATTTTTATTTTAGAGATAAAGATAGAGATAATAAAACACACTAAGGTATAAAGTATTTGTTTATATTGTTTTTCTTTTCTTAAAACCAATCTTACACTTAAGACAAAATTTGCAAATGTGAGAAAAGTGAAATTTCATGAGAAATGTAAAGCATTATTGTATTGTATCATCTTCCATTTTTTGCCTTGTTGCATGTATATAGTGTAATCTTATTTTTGAATGTTAATAATGTTAATGATTGAAGGGTACGAAGAATTAACTATAGTGTGATCAAAAGGAGGGAAATGACACCAAGATGCCAATAGAGGTGAAGTAAAAAACTAAAATGGTTCAAATGTCCCTACTAAAGTTCATCAATAGCATAAATGTTTTCTATAGTCACCCTTGTAATGATGAAGATTACACCACTTTCACAATCCTTGCTTCATCTCATTTATCTGTAAACAACAATTTCATCATTAGTTCACTTATAATGTCATTTTTTACAATACAATTTTTTATTCATCCCAAACATAAAAGTTACTTCTTTTATTTTACTTTTAATTGTGTTATATATATGCAACTTATATAACAATTTTTATAACATTATTATTATTATTTTTAATTTCGTTCTTGTGCATTATTTAAATATACTATACAGATAAGACAATTTAGGTAAAATTTTGTACAAAATAGTTTTTTTTCTGTTTTTCTCTATCCCTCCATAATTTATTACATTTTAATTTAGTTATTTGTTGTAATTTATTATACAAATTATTTCACATACAGCATTTTTCTTTTCTTTCTCGTATGTATGAAAATTTTAAAATATAAATGTTTATTTACCTCTTCCAAACCTTGATTTACGAATTGCACGTTGTACATCATTTTCTCTACGACCCTGTAAAATGTTAAATATAACATATAAATTAATTTGATATAAATAGAATACACAAATATTTAGCTAGCACACTCAAGTTCATTGTCACTATAGAAATTAACATCTAACTTACTTTTTTAACTAACAAGAAAACAAAATTATAAAACTCGTGTGTCATCTAGAGATTGTCATCTAAGACAATTATAACATTATACATGTAGTAATTAATGAGTATTTTTGAAGGAAATTGATAGGAGAAATTTAATAATAATGAGAAATTAGTGATTAACATTACCTTTAACAAAAAAATTAAAATAATGAATTTATTTTTATTACTCGATATTAAACGTAAACTCAAGCTTCTTATATTGACACCTTAAGATTAATTTAAGTAACAATGGTAAATTTGAAGGTTTTGTGACTTAATAATTTAAAATATTTAGTTGGGATAATGTTTACCTGAGCATTCACCAATTCAGCAGGATCAAAATCCATGGAAACCCTTTGGTTAGATAAATCATATGTTCCTTTGGCAAAGTTGGTATCTAGTGCACTAATTTTGCTTTTTGATCCATCAGATAGAGTTGATGATGCATCTTGTTTTCTTCTTTTGACCCATGTATAATCATTCGTAGATCCTGAGACTTGTATTGGCACACTGTATCCATTACCATTAACAACATTCATCATTTGGGAGGTCTCAGACATGGTATCCATGGCAGGCTTTGCATGATCTTTGTACATCCCTCCTCCTCTTCCTTTTGTAAGATGTGTTTTACCATCATCTTTATGCCCATTTTGAGAAGTGTTTTGCATGTTCTACACAAAGAACACAAGATAAGTATTGTAAAAATGATGATATTTAAGCCGTGTAGTAATATTCCATTGAAAAAATAGTACCTCTTTTGAACTTGATTTACCAAAATTGTTTGGATCATGCAAAAGTTTAGTGGCTCGTCTTGGTTGTCTTCTTGATGTTGCAACCTCTCTCACTTTACCTTCGATTTTTTTCCTAAGAGTAAGGATCAAGAGTTAGTCCTAAAAATGAGATGTTTTATGAAGATTAAATAATCAATTCAATACAACAAATATTTACATATTTCATTTTTAATACAATAAAAAAAATTAAAATCTTAGTATAAATTTTTTTAATTTTGTGAATTTTGTTTGAATTAAACATGTATTCTGTCTTTAGTAATTATCATGTGTATATAATAACGAAAATTAACACTAAACATGTATTAGAAAAAAATCTCTAAGGATTTCAAATTTACAAAAGCAAAATTTAAAAGTTCCTTCAAGATTAATTGCTTATCAGTGTCGTATTTTCTTTTAATAAACATATGTAACAATTATTATAGATCAAACATGTGTTTAAATAACACTAGTGGAGTTCAAACAAAGTTAATAGAATTAAAGTTTTTATACCAAGACAATATTGTTTTATTATACTGAAAATGAAATATGTCAATATTTATTCTACAAAACTGACTAATTATCCTTTCATAAACAAGAAATACCACAATAGTGTACCTGGATGAATCTTCTTGAACTTTTACATCCATTTCTTTGCTTGGTGGGTATCTTGGGAGATTTGATGGGTTACAAGCGTATGGCTTAGTGTTAAAGTACTATAAAGAATATACAAAGAAAAGAAAATTAGAAATTCAAGTTAGTCATATATGATTGGTCCACATTAAACAAACATCCTAATAAATTAACATTTCTAGCAAAATAATTACGAAGTCATATGCATAAAACATCAACTATTTCTTACAATATAGGATTAAAACAAGAATTTTTCTAAAAAATGAAGAATACATTATAGAAAAGTCCAAATCAATGAAATGTTTACCTCAGACATTAAGGCAGACGAGGAAGTTCCTCGGTTGCTTGCATCGATGGATAATAAAGTCTCAAGTAGGTCTATAGCACTTTCAGGAAAATCTGCACATCTTTCTCGAAGAGAGCTTTCATAATTTGTTTGAGGCTTAAACATGGTTGCATGAGGAAGTTTGGTCTTTTTCCAGAACTCCTCAGGTGGAGAACCACACAACTTAAAAATTTTGTGCAATTGTTCAACCTATACACTCAAGAAATACAATTTATGAGAATAGTTTATAAACAAAAAAACATATTCAAACTAAAGATAAATTATACATAACATACATATCAATTATTAAAAGGATTAAATATGTTTTTAGTCCCTAAACTATTGACCGTTTCTGCTTTTCGTCCCTCTTTCAAAGTAAGGTACAATTTGGTCCTCATTCTTTTCGAAACATTCGTTTTAGTCCTCAGAATTTTGGTTTTAGTCCTCATTTGTTGCTAAATGAGGACCAAATTTTTAAACAGTGTTTAGTTTTCGAGGACTAAAACGAACGTTTCGAAAAGAATGAGGACCAAATTGTACCTTACTTTGAAAGAGGGACGAAAACCAGAAACGGCCAATAGTTTAAGGACTAAAAACATATTTAACCCTTATTAAAATTACCTCAGTTCTTCCTTTAAGGATAGGCTTCCCAAGAAAAAGTTCTGCAAATACACAACCAACACTCCATAGATCTACTGACACTCCATAGCTAGTCGATCCCATCAATAGCTCAGGAGGACGATACCACAAAGTCACGACACGACTTGTCAAAGGATTTTTGTTACTTGTACTAATTGTATTTGCTAATCCAAAATCTCCTATCTTGAGAACACCTTCATTGTTTAATAAGATATTTGATACTTTGATGTCTCTGTGCATAACACCACGCATATGACAATGCTCGAGTCCACTTAAAAGTTGCCTCATGTAACATTTTATCTATGGAAAGGAAACATTACACACAAATGTAAACCTAATTCAAATTTATATTAGGAACGACACACGAGTTTTAAAAATAGTTGAAAGATGTAAACGAACCTGTGATTCGGTGAATACTATCTCAGGACGTGATACTAGGCCAGCAAGATCATGTTCCATGTATTCAAATACGAGGTATATGCTGTTTGATAGGCGAGAAGTGATTATGCCCTCCAATTTCATGATGTTTGGGTGGTCAAGCCTTCGAAGGATGGTTATTTCTCTTGCCATAAACCTAATACTCTCAGGTTGAAAATTGTCAAAACGCACTTTTTTCAAAGCAAATAGCTTCCCAGTTTCAACTTCACGAGCTCGAAACACACTACTATATGTACCTTGTCCAATCTATTAAAAATTAATATATATGTATATAATTATTAGTTCAAAATATCTTAATAGATTATAACAACTATATATACTCATAAAATATTTATTTTCTAAACTTAAATGTTAAATGTTAAATAATATCATAATTCATATTAATTTTAAAATAACATATTAGGAATAAAAAAGAATATTGTGGGGGAAAACTTTAAATGTAACAATACAACAAGCAACAACTATTACATGAACTAAAGAATAACACTTCAATTGATTTTTAATTACTTTTATGATAAAATTGAAACTTTATCTCAATGCATGGTTTATGTGATGTCAAAATAAAATGTTACAATAAGTAATAAATGTCAACACTAACCTATAATCCTTTAGTTGAAATTTTAAATTTTCATGTAGATAAACTATATAATAAATATCAAATACTAGTATGTTAGTTGATTTTTGATAGGGTAAATAATCAATTTTGCCTTCAAATGTGTGTCTTGCAAATACTTTCATCCTTTAATAAGGAAAATTCATAATTAGTCTACAAAATAGGAAACTTTCTAACAACTTTGTCATAACAATCCAAAGATTATTAAGGTTTGAACACTTTAATTATCAATGACGAGTGTCATTCAAAGTCACTAAAACAAGCCTTCACATTTTTCTTTTACTTTTAGATTTTCCTAAATTTGAGTTCCAAACATACACAACAATAAATAAATAATGCCTCGGAAAAAAAATAGCATCCCACATAAAAAAAATTAGTCCTTCATGATGTTCTCCTATGTGGTCATCAACATGTGAGGGTTATTTAATTTTTTTTTCATTCAAGGACTAAATTGTCCACAACATGCATATTCAAATATTAATTTAGCAATTTATCTAATTTTTACATTACTCCTTTATTACTGATAAATTTTCTTGCTATGATAAATGTCATCATAACAATTTTCATGATTAAAAGTACTCTACTTTATTTAGTTTTAATATTACCTTTTTTCTATTAAATGTAATACAATATAATATTAATTCAATGACTAATGTTACAAATGTTAATGTAAAATGTTATAATATTAAGAAATATCAATATTCAATATTAAAAGTTTGACCTTGATAACTTTCACAATATAATTATGTTTAATTAATGAAAGAAAATGAAGATGAAGAAAATAGCAACCAAAATACATTAATTATTTATTTATTTTTCTTTGGTGGGAGACGACAAGAAAATGAAAGAAAATTTTATTTGATTGATTTTTTTAAAATTATTTTCTTAAACAATTATTATTTAATTATAAATTAATTTACAATATGAATTTTATTGAAAATACAATAATTGTTTTCAAATATTTTAAAAGAAATAAAAGGATAAAAAAAAAACTTAAAGATGTTGTTCTTTTCATTTATCAATGGAAACTGTTGAAGAGGTTTTAAAGGTCCCTCTAAATAATTAATTAAAACGATGACATAGTAAAAAGATAAACAATAAAGTCTTTTTACTTAGACCTTTGAAAACATATCACTTCTCGATGAGTTATGTCATAATGTCTAAACTTTACAACTTTTCAAAACTAAACATAAGAACAAAATTATGNCTTATTAAAATTACCTCAGTTCTTCCTTTAAGGATAGGCTTCCCAAGAAAAAGTTCTGCAAATACACAACCAACACTCCATAGATCTACTGACACTCCATAGCTAGTCGATCCCATCAATAGCTCAGGAGGACGATACCACAAAGTCACGACACGACTTGTCAAAGGATTTTTGTTACTTGTACTAATTGTATTTGCTAATCCAAAATCTCCTATCTTGAGAACACCTTCATTGTTTAATAAGATATTTGATACTTTGATGTCTCTGTGCATAACACCACGCATATGACAATGCTCGAGTCCACTTAAAAGTTGCCTCATGTAACATTTTATCTATGGAAATGAAANAAAAACAACAACTTTGTTCTTTGTTCCTCCTCCTTTGTTGTTGTTCTTGTCGGTTTTCTTTTCTCCTCTTCCCTGATTTTGAGTCTCTTCGTCTTTGTTCTATATAATTCAATGCAACCCTTTGGGTTTTCCCAAGAGGGTGTGCGAGACGCACATGGAAAAATGGTAGCTTTGTTGTGGAATAGAACAAGGAAACGAACGACCCCCTCCTTCACCAAATTTTCTCTCTCCTCCCCTGTTCTCTCTCTGTCTTCCATTGATTTCGGAAGGAATAAGGGGTTGGAGGAATTTTAAGGAGAGAATTAGAAACTCATGGGTCAGAATTGAGTCTGCATTTTGGTTGTTGAAAACTATAGAAAACAAAAATGGATATCATTTTATTAAATAAGAAGAGAGAAAATATGATACTAAGGTATAATATATAACATGTCATGGTAAAGTGGTTAAGAATCACTTCATTACAAACATGGATATGATAAAATGAAAACTAGCTTTTATTCTTATTTTTTGTTGTTGCAAATAACACATTATTCCTAAATTATACTGTAAAATAAAAACTATAAAGTATGTTGAATCAATATTTAATTTATTTAAAAAATAAAAATATTATTATAGAGTTAATAAATAAAATATAACTATAATCATAAAATAACTTTATTTATAAATAAACTAGTTTTTTTTATTATCAATATATTATAAATAAATTCCCTATTGAAAATAAAGAATAGTGGTAAGTCAAATTAAATTTATATTCAATAAACATTTTAAATGAAACCAAAGTAGTACAATATTTGAATACTAATAATATTAATATAACGAAAACCATTACTTTCCATTTATTCATCAAACAATAAAAAAAGTGAGTTAACTAAAGTTTTGAAATAATGTTTTATTTTATTTTACACGATAAATTTATAAAAAGATATATTTTTCCATTATTTAGAGATTATATGTTTTAAGAAATAATATTAATAATAATATATGTTGACATATGAATGGTTTAATATAAGCATCAGATCTTTCTTAATGAAAAGTTTGGCCGCTTACAAATATAATTAATTAATTAAATTAATCATACCATTTGTAATTATGAACCTTCTAAACTATGTTCTATTTAAGAGAGTTATTAGTACATCAATTAGAACCTTCTATGAGATACATTAAATTATTTTTCATTAGTTAAAACAACCAATATTAAGTAGTTTGTAATCTAAGTCACACTTGGTTTGTTTTTACCAATACATATTTAGTAAAATACATTTACCCAAAATAAATAAATATATGAACATAACAACCAACACCCAACACGCATCC